TTATTACCAAAAACTAATCAAAACCTAGCATTAGTTCAGAGCATCTATGTACCAAGTTTCATCAAAATCCAATGAGTGGTTCTTTAGATATCAGTGGAACAGTCATAGAACAGCTAAAAATTAGCTAATTATCATGCAAATTAGGTAATTAACGAGCATGGATTTTTACCAAAACCTAATCAAATCTGCGCATTGGCCCAGAGCATCTATGCACCAAGTTTCATCAAAAACCGATGTATGGTTCTTGAGATAGCAGTGGAACAGTCGGACACACATACACACATACACACACACACATACACACATACACACATACAGACACACTAACTGCAAAGACTCCCATTTTGTGCTTCGCACATGGGAGTCAAAAATTACTTTGTGTCAATTTTAAGCATCAGTCGTCACATTGGGTCAAATTTGAATATGATGAGATGTGATGACAGTGGTTGAAACATACCTGTTCCTTCAAACATCCCAATTAGCAGTGACCCCATTGCCATAGCAGTGTTTGGCAACAAACATGCAGTCAGTTTTGCAGCGAGGGTCAGGTCCTGATATCGGGGCTGGATAAACAGATACGGTACATACGTCAGAAACCATATAACACCACCCCCAGCTGCAGCTGTATTGGCTGATAACAAATTTAACATATATTATTGTATAGAAACTTATTTTCAAAGAAGTTGGCCAAGAATGACTAGAATAAATGGATTCAAATAGAATAGAATAGAATAGAATAGAATAGAATAGAATAGAATAGAATAGAATAGAATATAGCAGATAGAAGTGAAATTTAGTATTATATAATGGAGTAAAAAAACAAGCAATTCATGGCTAAGACATTATTTAAGTAATGAAAGAAATAACAAATAATACATTTTCTTATCATAACTGAACATTACCATAACTTTATTATTTCCTTGTGCAAAGGTTACACAAAATGCATACCATTCTCATGACTTGTTTGCTTATCAGCTGTTTCAGTTCTATAACAGTCACATATTATCAGCTAATCAAACAAAGAAGTTTAAAGAAGGCAAAGTACGGTGCACATTTCCATTTAGTAACACTATAAATACTTAATACGGCAGAAGGACTTGATCAAGTATGAATTTACTGGTACCCTTTAATACATTGCATTATGTAACCTGTACATTTAGTAACCATAATTTAAGTAATCCATCATCTTCATTACACATCATTATAGTCATTAACTACACCAAAGTTTTTATCAAATGTCACAAACAAGCAACCAATTGGACTAAATTATTCAATCAAAGCATACAATATCACAGTTGAATGAAATGATATATACAAGGCAAAATTTGATTTGTTGAAAAAACCTGTCAACAAGCAAGCTGTTCTCTGATTGGTCTGATTGTTGGGTAGTGGGGTTGTGTAGCCAATCAGATACAACCTTGTAAGGGGTGATCTCATATTCAAACACCTGGGTCAAACCTGGGTTTACCCGACCTGCCCTATTCAGACCTACTAGACCTAAAATATGCAAATTAGTAGTAGGTTTGAACCTAACCTCCGGATTAACTGCCCATTAACGCCCCCACTGAAAACAAACAACAGAGAACAAAGAAGACAGACGTATGGGAAACCTAGGTTTTTCTTACAATACTGTTTCAGCCTGGTTTCAGTAGGAAAAAAAATAAGATGTATACTATGGTGAAGTGTTAAGAATTAGAGCAGCGATTTTTTTTTCTTTGCATACTTGTACATCTAAATGCTAATAAAAACAAACTTGCATTTGTTTCACAAATCTATTTACATCATGTCATTTATAAGTGTGATGAAAATT